TCTTCTTTTTTTCTTCTTTTTCTTCTTTTTTTCCTTTTCTTTCCTTTTTTCCTTTTTCTCTCTCTTTTCCTTTTTTCCTTTTTTCTTTCTTTTTCTTTTTCCTTTTTTCTTTTCTTTTTTTTTTCTTTTTCCTTCCTTTTTTTCCTTTTTTTCTTCTTTTTTTCTTTTTTTCCTTTTTTTTCTTTTTTTCTTCTTTTTTTCCTTTTTTTCTTCTTTTTTTTTCTTTTTTTTTCTTTTTTCCTTTTTTCTCTCTTTTCCTTTTTTCTTTTTTCCTTTTTTTCCTTTTTTCCATTTTTTCTTTCTTTTTCCTTTTTTTCTTTTCTTTTTTTCCTTTTGTCTTTTTATATATTTTTTTTTTTTCTTTTTTTTTTTTTCCCTTTTTTTCTTCTTTTCCTTCTTTTTTTCCCCTTTTTTCCCCTTTTTTCCTTTTCCTTTTTTTTTTTTCCCTTTTTTCCTTTTTTTTCTTCTTTTTTTTTTTTTTGCTTTTTTTCTTTTTTTCACCTTTTTTCTTTTTTTCCATTTTTTACATACATAATTTAGGTGATGTACATGTGTTTTCTAATGTGGCATCTGTAGCATGTGTTACTTATTTTTTCAAATCGGGTAATATGAAACATGAATATTGCATTGTTTTCTATTAAATTAGCTGACCGTTAAAGGGATAGTTCACCCAAACATGAAAATCCTGTCATCATTTACTATATTAGCCTATATTATATACTTAACCTGTTAATTTTGATTATTTAATGTATGTTTAAAATATCTTTCATGAAAATAACAGCAACAGTGTCAATTATAATATTTCAATAACAAATTAAAAACATAAGGTAACGTAAAAACTGCCTTAGGTTCAGTTTACATGTTTTCATTCAATGTGTTGGGTGTTGATTATTATATCTAAAAAATAAATAGCATCTGAATTTAGGCTACACGTCTACGTCTAGGCTCTGTTGTGTACCTTTAATGTTATAGTAATGTGCGGCTCCCAATATAGTTTACAGGGGGGTTTTTTTAATCCTTGCGAAATGTTTAAATGTAATTCAATTAATTTAAAAACAAAGGCACAATTTAATTTTTTTTATTTAAACCACTGTTTAAAAAGAAAAAAAAAAGCAATTTACCTTTCTTAACCGAACCGAGACCTCAAAACTGTGGGAAAACCTAACCGTCAGTTTTGTGTACAACTAATTCAACTAATTGTTTGGGTGAACTATTCCTTTAAAAGTACTAAACTGAAAGAAGGTCATGTTGTGTTTTGGTGATTAAACCAAATGTTCTCATTACATATTACAATCATCTTGTGTTTTTAAATGATGAGTATGTGTCCTGAAAACGTGCTATCATGAAAGCATGGGATCAGATTTTGAAAGAATGACTAGCCTAAATGTTTTACAAGTGTGATCATATTAGACTTTTGAGCAAAGTGTTTTTGAGCAAAGAGTTTTGACAAATGTGAAAATAGTACCAAAGCCAATAATAATAATAAAAACTATAAAAACGAGAGAAATGATCAATACTAAAATATATTTAAAAAACATACTGCAATTATAAATGCAATACAACATAATTTACCAATAAAGCTATTATCTGCAGTATATTTATCTTTATGAAACGGTAAGTTACATTCTGATAGATGGGGGTTTTTTTTCACGATAAAACCATAGACTGTAAAAGCCAGGATAATACACGGCAACGACTACACAGCACCCCTAGCAACCAATCTTAGCAACGCAAACATATCTTTATTATTAATATTGTTCATTTAATATTATTATTGCGAGAGGGTATTTACAGTAGATATAGCATCTTCCTTCAAGTCAGTCCTATATTCGTAATAAAAATCCATTTGAATGTCCTCAGCGATATCTTGACCTTTTAGGGGGGGTTTTAGCTGCTAGTTTGCGTCTTGCTTCTCCGTGCTCAAAAAAGTCTTCACTACTGACAAGACTGTCTCATAAAGACAGTCTTTGCCGCCATCTAATGGCGAAATAATGTAAATATAGTTTTGACTACCTTTAATACAGCACGATGCAGAAGTCACTCACTCCAATTCTCTTCTCTTGTTTTTTTTTTAAACAAGAAACTTACCATTCTGTCGTGTGATATCCCTGCTTGGAAAGTCTGTAGCAGTTGCTTGAAATCCGTTCAGCACAGTCCTCTTGCTTGTTAACATTAGCCGTTTCCACCGTCGGGCCGAACGGTTCTCATTCCGTGCCGATCTGGGCCAGCTGGAAGGGTTGCGGTGTCCGTGTGTCAGACTCGCGGCAGATCTTTTGAATGTATACAAACACATCAGTCGTTGCCATGGTAACGCGACGATTTACGTATGGTATGAGACGTAAATAATGACGCGTTATGGAGAATGGTCAGCTATCGCTTTTAATTTTATTACTAATTTGTTTGTTTACTTCGCTACAGATACACAGGCAACAGACAAGTGACATTTGAGTAGAGATCGCGGTTATGATGATGGAGCGTAACATTTCCCGAACACGCGCTAAGCACTGCCAATCAACGCACATTGGGCCAGCTGGGCCAATCACAGCACATTTCCTATTTCGGAAGGAGGGGCTTCATCGAAAACGACGCAATCATCCCTATTTTATTTATTATTATTATTATTATTATTATTTTAGGTGTATGGCTCAACCAGAATGGGGATAGAGGAGCTGTAATAATATAAAATATGTGAAATCTTAATGCGTTTTGTGAACAATCAGGCATGAAAACTTATTCTTGTACACCTCTAAAACAAAATCAAGATTTCGACAGTGTTGGGGAGTAGTTAACTACAAGTAGCGAAGCTACTAACTTAACTACATTTTTCAGTAGCTTGGCAGTAGCTCAGTTGCTTTTTAAACAGTGTAGCTTTTCCAGTAGCTAACTACTTTTTGCAGCAAGTAGCGGTGTAGCTCGAGCAAAAGCTACATTGCTACATTGTCGAGCCTGCGCGAATCAGCCCGATGCAAGGATATTCTTCATCTTGTTAGATTACAAACTCATTTTTTGCCATTACCGCCACCTGTTGTTTAATCACGCATCTTGCGGCTAACGGTTCACTGACGTAAAGAAGTGGGTTGACAGTGACACACCCAGGTGACGGCAGATTTTGAGGATGGAGAAACAAACGTTAATTACCCATGGTCTTATTTGTCCAAGTTCAATCGTTATTTTTGAGAAAATGTTCTAAATGCAATTTATGTTGAATGTATATTTCGTTCTTGCAATGTTGTAGGCTATTTGTTGCAATTTTGCACTTTAGACAAACAGTCGGAGATATTTGAGTGTTGTGTGTAATAAAACAATACTCTATGAAATCATAATTGTATTGCATTGTTTTAAACACTAAAAATTTGAATTAAAACATTCATCAGACACTTTATTCAGTTATTAATAATATATAATTTATAACATCTTATAATAAAAATAGGTAATATAATATTTATAATATTTTGTTCAAAAAGTAAAAGTAGTTTCAATGTAGCTAGCTGCTTTTTGATAGTAACTTGTAGTGTAGCTAACTACTTTTCCAAAAGGGTAGCTTGACTGTAGTTTAACTACTTCAACGTACGAGTAGCTTGTAGCTTGTCAAACTACAGTTTCAGAGTAGCTTCCCCAACACTGGATTTCGAATAGATGACCTACAGTGATCTGCGTCCACCTATTGGTGGTTTTAGTTTCATTTAATATATGTTCCATAAATTTATTTATTAAAATATTAAAAGTATAGCCTATAGGCTATTAATCTAATAAATTATTTATGCTATTGTAATCACATTGTAAATTAATTCCTACCACATCCGAGCTTCATTAAAAAGTGTAATCAACCTTAAATGCCAGCTCAGATTCTGTGCCACTTCTACTGTGCAGAGATTTATTCTTTTGGTGAAAATGATTTCAATGATTTTTAATGGAATTTATTGATTTATTTAATTTGATTGATTGATTGACTTATTATTATTATTTATTATATATTATATATGATTTATTATTTATAGAATGTCTTAAATGTAATCAGTAACAGAGATTAAAAAAACTTACTCCAGTACCATTAGCTTTATGTTATTTATGTTATGACATACCCTATATTCTATATTATGTTATGACATATATTCTATATTATGTTATGACATACCCTAGGGTATGTTCTATCTATCTATGCCCACCACCACCCCCTTCATATCTATCTATCTATCTATCTATCTATCTATCTATCTATCTATCTATCTATCTATCTATCTATCTATCTATCTATCTATCTATCATAAGCTGTCTGTCTGTCTATGCCCACCCCCACCTCCCACCTCCTTCACTTCGAAAGACTCTCTCTCTCTCTCTCTCTCTCTCTCTCTCTCTCTCTCTCTCTCTCTCTCTCTCTCTCTCTCTCTCTTTCTATATATGAAGAGTTCAGATGCAAAAGCCTCTAAGTGCCATTTTAAATTTTCTTCTAAAATGATCATTTTTATCAAGTTTGTATATTTAAGTTCAGTGATTTCACTTAAATGGCAATGAAGATTACCTATTAATTGCCATTTAAGTGAAATTACTGAACTTAAATATACAAACTTGATAAAAATGACCATTGTAGAAGAAAATTTCAAATGGCATTTAGAGGCTTTTGCATCTGAACTCTTCATATACATATATATATATATATATATATATATATATATATATATATATATATATATTATATATATATATATATAATGGGACATATTAATTAAAAAAAAATTGATATGCACAGATAAATAATTTATAATAAACACTTAAATATTCCATAAGAAAAATAAGAATGGTCAACTTTGATTTCATGTTGACTTATAGAATGTTTAAATATATATGTTTGTTAAACAGTTTAAAACATGCTTGTTACCACAGCACAGTTTAATTGTAACAATTGCAGTAACGTTACTTATTGTATTTTCAAGGACACTACGGTTACCATGGTGATTTTTTTTTTTTGCAATTGCGAGAGAGCGAGAGAGAGAGAGAGACGGGGACAGACAGACACACGCTTGTCAGTCGGTAGCTTTCAGTTAAGCCTAGTTCACACTACATGATTTTAAAATGTCGGGCTGAACTGTGCAGTTCACACTACATGACTTGCTCTCAGTGAAATCATGAGTGTTCAAGTTGTTTAGCTGTTCACACCACACAACACAACGTGATTGATCCACAACAGGAGGTAACTCACTACACGAGTTAACAACGCGCTGCATAGAGATACAACCACGATCGGATGATAAGAGCATATCATTTGTGACTCAATGAGAGCTGTTTCAGTACTATAGTACGGTCTAAATCCTGAAAATAATCAAACAAATAACGAGTTGACAACAACACGATTCTATCTGGTCTAGAAACCATGTTTTGTCACGAAAAAACCACGCAATGAAACGAACCAGAAATGACGCGAAACTGCAGAGAAGAACACAACACGCGAATATGGACGTCAGACAGAAACTAGTGCTGCACACTGTTTGCTCGACGATATGCTCTGAGAAAAAAAAAATGCAAAAAGAAAAAGTAAGATTTACCTGGTGTCCTCAACCCATGCGTTGCTATGATTGGCTGTACTCATGACATCACTGAGATTGAGTCGCGCGACTGCTCGAGATATCTAGCATGCTAGATATTTTTCTGAGCTCGGTGACCTGTCTGCGAGCTGTCTTTGATGCGTTGTTGGCTCTTTCACACTAACGGATTGGCGAGCGTTAATCGTCCGCTAATCGCCCGCGATTTGCACGCGATAACACCCTGACTTGTCGGCGACTCAACGATTTGCAAATCGGGCTTAAATCGAGCTTAAAATCACGTAGTGTGAACTAGGCTTTAGCTGCTGTGTATTTGAGTCGCTCGTTATATTCACACGCTTATTTCTGTGACTAGGTCTGTGTATTCGCCTCGTATTCAGTGGTGAGTGAGTGGAACCGGGTTCAAAATTCAGATTTCTGTCAGTGTTCAGGCCTGTCTGAGCACGAACACCTACAGAACTGAACTGACTTCACCATGGACAAAGTAAGTTTCTGCACTCACAGCTTCATATTTTTATGTTTCAGATGAGTAGTTACGCGCAGTTGTAAAGGACTGGGCGCTGAAACATCATGTTGAATTCTAAAATCTGCTCTAACGTTACATATGTAATATTTTAGTCGTTTTCAGCTGACAGACTACCTTGGTTATAGAGTTAGCATGCTAACTTAGGCCGCTTCAAACACTCATGACTAACGTTACTTCATCGTGTACAATTTTCTGATTGCAACAGCCTAAAATTAACATATTATCGTGGGTGAATCATGTTACTAGCCGTCCTAAAGTTTTCATTTTTTGGTTATTTGGTGATTTAGTATTTGAATTATCTTTAAATCACATCACACATGTCATGCTAATGTGTTAGCTCGTATTAGCATGCTGATAAGCGCGAGCGAGACTTTTGTTAAACAGTCACGACCTAAATATATATTAATTTTATTAGTGTTATTTTGATCATATGTTATTTAAAAGAACTCGAATCAAAAATATCAATCATATAACCCACAAATCTAGTGGACTAGACTGGCAACGCCCAAAGGTTGACATGCATTATCCTCCATCTGGATGAGTTTACTCTCTCAGCAAATGTCTGAAATGAGATGATGTATTATTTAGGTGTGTATTTATATAAGTGCTGCTATTAAAGTTCCTTATGTTATTGATTGTTCGCTAAATGAGGCCTGCTTCACTGACTACTTCAAGTCTATCACTGGCTGTTTGATATTATGATCAATCGATGTAAGTTACGGTCATTTATGGGCAACTGATTTTTCTGGGATTATTTTATGTGCAGTAAAGTTAGTTCATTCAGTAATAGCGTGTATCTAAACTGTCAGTAAACATTTGTGTTGTAAAAGATCATTTATATTCACTGAATCGTGTCATTAATACCTACTCTGTAAGAAGTGAACACCTAGTAAATTGTCTTTCCCCCCTTGAGACGAGGATTTGTCCAATATCAAGTGTACTAAATAATGTAGCACTTCAGGTATATTTCTAGTTAGCGTTTTAACCTCTTTTTGTCATTTTGAAGGCAGATTTCCTGAAAGGACTACCTGTGTATAATAAGACAAACTTCAGCAGATTTCATGCGGACTCCGTATGTAAAGCATCGGTAAGGTTTGCTGGCCTAAATGATTCATCTTGGAATGTTCTTCATGACTGAACTGTTTATCGTCTTTCTGAATATTCAGTGTGCATTTTTACACTGCAGCTGTGAATTACATTTTCAGGTTTTGTTTAAATCACATTAACAGTCCATTTATTGTGTGTTACAGAACAGAAGGCCGTCAGTATATCTGCCTACACGAGAGTATCCCTCCGAACAGAGTGAGTTCTTGTGTATCTGATGGATGAAGGCCTGTTGTACAACCATTTAAAATGAAAGCTGATGTGTCACTTAAAACTCTTTGTTTCAGTATGAAGCCTAATTTTAGTTCGTTTTTCTCTCCTCTTAGTCATTGTCACAGAGAAGACAAACATCCTTTTGCGTTATCTTCATCAACAGTGGGACAAAAAGGCAAGTGTTCATCAAGCTCTTGGTTGACAAATCAACCGCATTGTGTTGAATAAATTGACTCCTTTTATTCACTACATTTGTTCACTTTGGTGACGTATTTACTGGCACGAGGGCAGGACTACCTGTCACTCACATGAGCTCACAGCAATAGCAAATCACAACCATTCAATCAATTCCCAAATGCAAGTCCCTCCATACATGTTTTAGTTCACTGAAAAACCTATGGCTTTCTGTGATAGGGACCCAGGAGAATCTCACCTGGGTGTAAAAAATGGGGGTGATGTGCAAATATATATTCCCCACACTTTGAGAACCACTACAGGCAGTCATTTGCATATCTATTTGCCCATGTGACCTCACAGATCCCACAATATCCAAACAAGCTATTTTTGGTACATAATTAAATAATATACTGTAGGAAAACGCTTTAAGCAATCAAACTTGCATGGTGTCTAATGGCTCGTTTCCACTGAGGGGTGCGGTACGGTAAGGGACAGTACAGTACGGGTCGGGTCGGGTACACCGTGATCAGGCTTGCGTTTCCACCGCCAACAGTACCCTTACTTGATAGGCGTGGTATGCTGGAAAGAAGCGATCGACGTCATTTTCGCGTGAAGAAAGCGACATAGTAAACAACAATGGATGACAGACAGCAGATCTTGTTCTTGCCTCTCGGCATGTTTGTCACTAGAAACAAGCGCTGGCTTTAGGCGTTTCCAAGAAGCCAACGCAAAGTCCGACTCAGGAGAATGATCCCGAGGACGCGAGTCCAGTAATTCTGTTAATGGAACAGCGCGTTCTTGAACGCGGCACTGAGCTCGCTCTGGCTCTGCGACTCCGGTTATCTCTGTATGTTCATTTTAGGCAACAATAAAACAAAATGTGTAATAAAACACCACTCTGCTTCTTTTCGATTTCATTTCAATACATTTTAAACATTCTAAAGCACATAAATGTGGTTCAGGCAACGCATAGCCTATTGATTATCACTGCATGTATTTAACGTTATATATTTATAACAAAACTAAATACAAAACAACCCTGCCTCTTTTCGTTTAAATTTTAAAATAAAAACATATTCAAGGCAATATGTAATGTAATGTATTGCATATCGCATGCATTGGTACAAATGTTGCAATAAAGAACATTACAGACGATCTTGTAAAAAAAAAAAAAAAAAAAGACAAAACTATCTCTTTTTGTTGAATTTCAGTTTTATCAATAGCCATTATAAAAGTATATGTAAAATGTACAAAATACAGTAAAGCTTAAATAACATCAAGAAACAATTCAGTCAGTGAAATATACAAATTCAGCGCTCAAAGATATGAAACTTCACGTAGCCTTCTGCCAAAACTATTGGCCAGGGAACGAATTATAGATTCACGAGACTAAAGATCACCTGTTAGGTTTATACAAGACGAACTATATCTCATGTTTAACCACTACAGACAGAGACGTCCGCGTCAGCGGCAAACATCAGGATGACTAGCCGAGGAAAGGCTGTTCCAGGCGGGGGACACAAGCGCGAGCGTCCGGTGATCGCTTGGAATGGATCTCAGTCAAATTATCAAACATCTATAAATAAACCACAGATTTGATCTTTAAAAAACTACTTTCTCGCCTGAAAAAGTCTTAAAACTACATTTCGTGACACAATAACAGTAGAGTTATATTTCAACTGTATGCTTCTAATGCCCTTGTAGCACGCGCGAGTGACGATACTCTGTCCACCAATCACCGTTCTGCAGTGAGTCTAGCTCCACCTTTTAGTACCCTTTCACTGTGCTAGGTACCCCAACGGAAGGGTACCCAAAAAGTGGTACGTTACGGTTCGGCTTTTTGGTACCATTCACAACTTTTGACAGTGGAAACGCAAATAATTGCGTACCGAACTGTACCGTACCGTACCACTCAGTGGAAACGAGCCATTAATGGTACACAGACTTCTTATGTGTCAAAAGCTCATGGAAAATTTGATTTCTTATTTCATAACCCCTTAAATAAAATGCATGTCTCATGTTTAAGAGAACTTGGATTTTGTATTTTTCCTGTGACTTGACTGGAGAGCTGAATTAAAGAGCTTGTGCAAACTGCTTTTGTCACCGCTGTGTGTTTTTGTTTTGTACATATTTACATATTCACCTAGACATCGCTCTCAGCAGCTTCGAAATGTGGCGTCAGAATGTTTCTCTAACAGTATATTGTTGTTACGGTTCTTTTACCCTTATGGGAGAAACTGTCAAGTAAATCAAACACACCCATCAAGTGCAAGTTAAAATAGGAAAAATGATGGAAAAGCAGCACAGTGGAATGGAAAACAACTTTTTTTGGTGAGAAGTGCAGCTGCCTGAAAGATGAATTTAACTCTTCTTCTTTTTTTTTGTTGTCCTGCAGAATGCAGCTAAAAAGCGAGAGCAGGAGCAAGCAGAAGGGGAGGGTGGCAGCCCAGCACCGCCCCGCAAAATCGCCCGGACAGACAGTCAGGAGATGAACGAGGACTCGTAGAGGAACCCCCCCTTTCCAACAGACGCAACACCCGCACACCACACAGGAATTCATCTCAGAAAGAAGGAAATGGAACACTTATCTTACAGTGTGCTTTTATTATTTTACTGAGTGCTTCCTGATGCAGTCAGTGCCCAGTTGTGAATGCGTGGGGGCGCGACGGCTTTCCACTGCCAGCTTCCAAGATTCTGCTGAACTCTGAACTGCTTGGGGGTGAGACGGGGCGGGTACTGCGGTATTCAACAAGCACATAATAAGGAATGCCTGCTGTGAAGACGTGTGACAATTATGATTTTGTTTAGGACACTATCAATGCAATTTAAGTTTAAAAACACCCTAGTAATCTCAGCTGTGGATTTTTGCTTTCATTATATACTAAAACTAAAAACACAGGGTCTCAAGTCAAGTGTCCAAAAAGGGAAATTTCCGAAATGTACAGCCTCGTTTGGCAGATTTAGATGTAGTGTTTCGTGTTGGTAATGTAACGGCCTTCCTAGCAGGTGCATACTTGTGCATGAATGCACTGTTAGGACTGCAAATCTGTTGCCACAGATTGAGGATGATATGAAGAAATACAAATGGTGACGTCTCTCTCACTTCCTCCTGTTGTCATATAAGCTTTCAATGCTGCGTTAATCTCTGGTATCATTAATCGATCGCCTGCATCCAAATGCCCGACTCCATCATTGATTTAATCCCCGTGCGCCAATTCAGTTGCAGTCCATTTCCGCGTGTGATGGGATTTTCCCAGGCTAGAGATTAATAATGTCTCTCCTTTGTTTTCTGGGTTTGTAGTTGTGTTGGAGTTCTGAGATTTAAGGGGCATCTATGCAGCATCCTCTCTTAACCTGCAGAGGGAGTCGGTGAACTGTGGTTGTGGTACAATAAACAGTAGAAGCTTTAGACATGGGGCTTAATGGAGTCCACAACATCCGTAAAACTGTTTTGTCACTGTGGCTGGAGACACCATGTTACGTTAAGTCGGCAGTTTCGAGCCGTTTCTTGGCAAAGTTTGTTCATATGTTCTCGATGAAAAGATTAAAATGTATTGAAGCCATCTACAATAACAAAAAAAAATCATGCATGCATTGTGGCTTTGGAAAATGTTTTGAGTAAAGCATTTGAAACCTCTTGTGTGCAGAGAGCAGCCCATCTTGAGTCTAAATCTAGCTGAAAGTTTCCACAATGACTGCAATTGTATGTTCTTGTTCTTATGAAGCCTTCCCAACTCCTATGTTTGAGGTCAAAAATGTTTTCGAGAATCAAAATAAAAATTAAATGAAAACATTTTCATTGTCAAGATCATTCGTAATAAATTCAAGGCAAGAGATTATGGTTGAATACTTGGAAAAATTGGACAGCCAGTGCCACTGTGAGGCTCTAACAGCATATGCTCAACAGGTGTAATCCGCTTTAATCTGAAGTCTTACTCTGCGACCATGTTGGCATGTAGATTTGGAGGATAGGAAGTAAATGAAAGCGGAAAACAGTCCCGTTGTAGCTCTTATTAATTGTTTTGTTTTTTTCTTGACATCAACAAAAGTTTATTTAAAGATTTTTATTGCGTGGGACAGATTCGATTTAGATTAGATTATTGGATTGAGGGTAGCAGATTACAAACCCGCAATTTCATTACACTGGGAAGAGACGGTATTGGAGTCGGAGATCCAGCTTTTTCATGTATCGGGAACATTGGTAATCAGGTAAGATATTTCACAGTACGGTAATGTGTTTATCATACCTAAAATTGGAGGCAACCGACAAGGCCAAAGCCAAGGCTATTTACATGACAGCCATAGAAAAGATCTTTCATTGTGTTTTTATCAATGCAATTACATGGATGTCAATTACACAAATAAAAATCTTTTCATCAAAGTACTAAACATAGGAGTAATCTTAGAAGCAATATGAAATCTAAAGTATTCAGATTTTGAGGCACTATTAATTTGGGGCAGCCAAAACTCTTTGCAAGAATGCATTATAGTTTGTTACATCCAATTATAGATGGACAGAATGAGTGTATTTTCACAGATTCAGCATCTTGGGGAGAGCGGCTAGAAAGACACCGCTTTTGAGAAAGGAGATGCTCATTCATGGAGATTCTAGTAGATCCCAAAAGTCTGTGGTCCTGTAAAAATAAGTGTAGATAATAGACTTAAAAAGCAAAGCATTATATTTGATGCAAAAACAACCCAACATCCAACTTAATTTCCAACAACAAGCATGGTGGAGGCAGTATCAGGTTCTGAGGTCACTGTTTGGGAAGATTGAACTGGTTGGCTTGTTGAACACTGGAGATATGTCATACACAAGTATGTGTGGATCCTTGGTCAGCCAATCTCAATTTTCACAAAAGTCCATGTACTAAAGCATTGATTCTTTGTGAACTCAAATGTACTTCTTATTTCCTCAGGCGTTCACCATGCTCACCAGCTTTGTGGATGGAATATTCTGTTGCTTTACAGGGAAATCTACTAATGTGGTGGTCCCTATTGAATCATCTGAGCCCACCGATGGTTTCGAATTTGTTGAGGTGAAACCGGGAAGGGTTCTGAGAGTTCGACATATTATCCCAGACAGACCAGTGGTTGAGGAGCCAGGGACTGGGGAAGGGGGTACTGTGAGCTGCAAGCGCAAAATCTCAGTGTACCGAAACGGACAGCTTCTGATCGAGAACGTCAATGAAGCCACCCATCCAGAGCTGGTCCGCTATCAGAACGGAGACAGCACTGTGGATAATGACGTTTCCAACTGTGAGCCTCCTGCAGCAGGCCAGGCTACTGAGCCCACACCTGGGTCAGCCCCAGGACAGGCTACCGATACCAAACCCGCACCCCAGCAGGATCTGCAGCAAGTGCAGCACAGACGGCGCAAACCCAAGCGCTCGGTCGTGATCGACTGCGAGCGGAAGATCTCGTGCTGCAAAGGTACTCACTCTGACGTGGCCTTGTTTTTCATACATGGAGTCGGGGGATCGCTGGATATCTGGGGAAGCCAACTGGACTATTTCTCCCAACTTGGTTATGAGGTCATCGCCCCAGACTTGGTCGGCCATGGTGCGAGTTCAGCCCCTCAGATCCCTGCTGCCTATACCTTTTACGCTCTGGCGGAGGACCTTAGAATCATCTTCAAGCGATATGCCAAGAGACGGAATATTGTAGTTGGACACTCATATGGGTGAGAAATGGTCCGCAAATTTACTCATTTGCTTGGTAAGTGCAGATACGTTTTCCCACTAATTTGAGCATTTTCTTTCTTTGAGCAGTGTCTCGTTTTGTACCTTCCTGGCTCATGAGTATCCGGAACAAGTTCATAAAGTTGTGATGATTAATGGTGGAGGTCCAACAGCACTCGAGCCCAGTCTCTGCTCTGTCTTCAACTTGCCCACGTGTGTCCTTAATTTCCTGTCCCCGTGCCTCACCTGGAGTTTCCTCATGTAAGAATTATTGGAAACAGGACATATTGTCCTTGCCTTGCTTGAACACGAGTATCTATGTTCGGCATTTAACGTTGTCTTTTTTCTTTCTTCAAGGGCTGGATTTGCCCATCAGGGAACAAGAGAAAAGAAGCTACTAAAAGAGAACAATGCCTTCAATGTGTCTTCCTTCGTTCTGCGGTCCATGATGAGTGGACAGTACTGGCCGGAGGGTGATGAAGCCTACCACGCTGAAATCACAGTGCCTGTTCTGCTGGTTCACGGCATGTATGACAAGTTTGTACCAGTACAAGAGGACCAACGTATGGCAGAGGTACAATGATTTTTATGTTCCAAGCTTTGGGTCTTATCCATGAAGTTGTGTCTTTTTCCTCCTGTAATTAGAGATTCTGTGAGTGGCAGTTGACCAGTTATTTCATTTTTTTTTCTTTTTTGGTAAGTTGGTGAGCAAAAACATATCAATAACTCTTTCCTCCTTTACTATCCTTCTTGTAGATCCTCTTGCTGGGGTTCTTGAAGGTCATTGATGACGGAAGTCACATGGTCATGATGGAGTGCCCTGATATAGTTAATACTCTCTTGCATGAATTTTTCCTGTGGCAGCCTGCAACTGCCTCGAAACCCAAACAGGAGGCAGCCCCCACAAAGACCACCACCAAACCTCCAGAGGACACAGCAAGACCAAAAACTGCCCCTAAGTCACCCTCCAAATCTCAACCAAACTTAACAAGACCAACAACTGCACCAAAAACCATCTGCAGCAGGACTGAGGCCCCAGTGGACATCAGATCTAAGGGCAAGAAATAGCTAACATTACAGTATACATTTAAAGGTGTTAAATTTGCTCTGTTCTTCCATGTGGGACATATTTAATGGAACAATTTGAATGTAGGAGGTCCTTGGAGATTTGCCAGTTGGTCTATGTATGACTGCAGCAAACAGACTCGTGGAAACGCTCAGAGGGACGTTTGTCACAGAGCAGAGTGGTTGACCATTTCAAGCTTTTGAATGAGATGAGTTTTTTTAGAGGATGCTTTATTTTCTTTTCTTTTTTACAATTGGATAACACCAGCCTATTCCTATTCAAATGGTTTGCATTATGTCTACAATGGGTCTATGTAATAGGACAAAATGTTATGTCAGCTCAAAAATGTTTCACAAGTGATGATCTCAGTATTAAATATTCAAAATCCACAAAACATAGTGTTACTATGGGTGCCTTGCTGTAAATAGATGGATCTATTGTACGCATTTAGTTTAATATCAGCTGATGTCTATAGTTATTCAGCTGCAGTGGACAGCAGAGTTTATTTATTATTTGATAGGTTTAGTCATTATATGTTGAAAGTTCTCCAGCCCTGTTGAATTACTGTTAAAAGGGTGATTGAAAGTGTCAGCTTCACATCCAGGCATTAACCTACCTACACATAGCCCACATGAATTCTAAGAGACTTAACATGAAGTACAAATGCAGTCTTTACCTATTGTATTGCATGTTGTGAAAGAACTATTTCAAGTAAAAAAAAAAAAATCCAGTAATTTTCTAAGTAAAAAAAAAAAAAATCCAGTAATTTTCTAAGTTTAATATGATTAAAGAATGCATCATTCAATCAGTATTCCAACAAACAGCTAGTGTTTCACTTCTAAACAACTTTCCCACCCAACCAAAAACTGAATTTGTGCCCACATAAAAAAAAAAACATAGGGCAGTAATTTGAAGTCATCCCTGAGGTCAAAAACAAGCCCTGCAGCCTGGAATCAGGCCATTCATACAGATAAACAGAGAAATAGAACTATAGAGTGCCGAAGTTACGAAGTCACTCTATAGGCCAAAATGCGGAAGTGAGTTAGCATTTTAGCACTACGGTTCCCTCGCTCTAAAGCCTATGGGACTTTTGAATGGGTTTTTGTTAAAAATCCCCTGAAATAAGGTCTGTGGTGAGCAAAGCCTCTAAATATTTTCACACTTTGATCTATGACACAGAACACAGTTATAACCGGCATGTAGTTTTTTAAACTTTGTGACTGTTTTTAAAAATCTTTATAAAGGCTTCAAAATGTATAAATTTGATTAACTTGTGAAGATTATCTTGCTAGACAAAACGTGTAAGGGTCACAACTCTTTGTTGATCTTATTTTTTTGTGATTTTACAAAAGTCTATGGGGAAAATGCATTGCTTTTCGACCGAGGGAACCCATGCGCCGCTAGCTTCCGAGTTGTCCTACAAAGTGACATCACTTCGGCACTTTATTTTTAATATATAAATGCAACTTTTATGCAAAAAAAAAAACAAAAAAAAAAACAGAAAGACAAAAATCAGGCTGTTTTGGAGGCTTTTATTTACAGTCAATTTTTACTTCAGAGGAATGAAGCGGGAAGAATGAGTGGCTCCAATACCCGGACGACCGTGTTTAACAGGCTTGTATGTGATGGAGAACTCTCCAAGGTAATGACCAATCATCTCAGGCTGAAAAACAGACCAAACACACACCATTAGCTGCAGCCCCCAGGATCTTGTAAATTCGTTATATTTATAAAGAGAAATTAAGCACTGCAGACACATTGATTCACAATGCATTCTATACAATGCAAGTCTTATTTAATGGCTTTGTGGGACTCAGGGCGAGTCCTCGAAATTATTTTTTTTGTTAGTACATGTTTTTAAACTTAACAGTGCACGATTCATCCCCACCTTGATTTCAACCTGGTTGAAGGTCTTGCCGTTGTACACGCCGACCATGGATCCAACCATCTCCGGCAGGATGACCATGTCTCTCAGGTGAGTTTTCACCACCTCTGGTTTCTCCATGGGAGGCGCCTCCTTCTTGGCCTTGCGGAGGCGTTTAAGGAGAGACTGCTGCTTCCTCCTGAGGCCACGGTTCAGCCTCCTCCTCTGTCTGGCACAGTAGAGCTGCATCAGCTGCTCACTAATGAAAAACAAAAACAAGCTTAAATCAACAATATTTCTATACAAACAAAATTAAATCATTGATGACACTTATTGGCAAAAAAACAAGTATAGAATTTGGAGTGGAAACAGAACCAAATGTTTTTGATCACAAGACATTTCATCTATACACCAATGAGATTTGAGCTGCGGTAGACATGTTTGAGCTTTTTAAACTGAAAGTATTGATATTGGCACAGTGGTAATAAGGACTTTTATTGTTCTTTACCAATTTTGACTCGTTTTTTCAATTCTGAGTTTTCATCTCACAATTGACTTTCTCAGAAATAAGATTTTACATCTCAGTTTTGACTTTCCCTCAGAAACCAGCAACAAAATAATAAAAAGGTCTCACACTTTTCAAGAAAAACGTCAGAATTGTATATTTATTAGGGATGTGAAATTGTAAAAAAAAAAATTAAACTGGTTATCGCGATATCAAATTAAATTTAAACCCTCGCTCTAAATTTGCATGTTTTGATGTCAAGCCAGCCACATTCTTGTACAAGAAATTAGCGACTGTAGCATTTCTATCGTAAAGTGGCAAAATATTAGCCTGACTACGTCCTTCTGCTCAGTTTCAGTTCGCTTCTGTACTCAGTCTGAGATAGCGACCCATCTCAGTTTTCCTCTGACCTGAAAATAGCAGACCAATCAACGAACAGAGGGTGGCCTGAGAGCCGTGACGTAGACGCTAAGCACCGAGTTTAAGATTGTATTTTTGGTTAGAGAAATCGAACATTGATAAGGAGATAAGGGATGCAATTTGCTCTGTCGTGGAGAATATTCCCAAACAATGAAAGAGCCAACAACACAAAGACACTCGCCGAGCCCAGAAAAATATCTATAATGCTAGATATCCGGAACCGTCACGCGACTCAACCTCAGTGATGTCATGAGCTCCAGCCAATCAGAGCAAGGCATGGGTTGAGCTCACTGGGTAAATATGATCTCTTTTTTTTGCAATTTTTTCTCAGAACAAATCATGCAAACAGTTTGAAGCACTAATTTCTGTCTGACTTCCATATTTGCGAGTTGTGTTGCGAATTCTTCTTCGCTGGGTATTGGCGAACGTGCTGATTTGCGTCATTTCCGGATCATCTTATCGTGTGATTTTTCGTGACAAAACAGTTTATAGACAAGATAGAATCGTTGGGTGACAGAGTTGTCGACTCGTGTAGAGCGTTACCTCCTGTTGTGGATCAATCCTGTTGTGTGGTGTGAACAACTCAAATTGAACACTCCTGATTTCACTGAGATCAAGTCATGTAGTGTAATGCCTAGTTCACACTACATGATTTTAAAATGTCGGGCTGAACTGTGCAGTTCACACTACATGACTTGCTCTCAGTGAAATCATGAGTGTTCAAGTTGTTTAGCTGTTCACACCACACAACACAACGTGATTGATCCACAACAGGAGGTAACTCACTACACGAGTTGACAACGCACTGCATAGAGATACAACCACGATCGGATGATAAGAGCAAATCATTTGTGACTCAATGAGAGCTGTTTCAGTACTATGGTACGGTCTAAATCCTGAAAATAATCAAATAAATAACAAGTTGACAACAACTCTGTCACCCAACGATTCTATCTTGTCAACAAACCACGTTTTGTCACGAAAAAAAAACACGCAATAAATAAATAAATATTGCGCCAATACCCAGCGATTAAGAGAACACAACACGTGAATATGGACGCCAGGCAGAAACTAGTGCTGCACACTGTTTGCTCGACGATCTGCTCTGAGGGAAAAAATGCAAAAAAAGAGAGGAAAAACTAAGATTTACCTGGTGTCCTCAACCCATGCGTTGCTATGATTGGCTGTACTCATGACATCACTGAGTTTGAGTCGCGCGACTGCTCTGGATATCTAGCAGGCTAGATATTTTTCTGGGCTCGGCGACGCGTCTGCGAGCGTTTTCGCTGCGTTGTTGGCTCTATCATACTAACAGATTGGCAAGCGTTCATAGTCCGCTAATCTCCCGCGATTTGCACGCAATAACACCCTGACCTGTCGGCGACTCAACGATTTGCAAATCGGGCATAAATCGGGCTTAAAATCATGTGGTGTGAACTTGGCTTAAACCGCACAGTTCAGCCGACATTTTAAGATCATGTAGTGTGAACAAGGCATTAATTGCTTACATTGTGAATTTCAACAGTGGTTCTATTAAACCATACGATAACTTGCTTTTTGCCTCACTGTTATTCAACATGTATTGTGAGTTCTTTAAAAGGCTATTGATTGCTTGAGTCTATTTTTAGAACCACACAAAACAACATAACCGAACATAATAGTCGACCGTTTACTTGTTTAAAATAAACCAAAATTTTACCACAATAATCGCTAGTGACGGTCCTAGATTTGAATTCAGTTTTCCTATTAGAATTAACCTCAGTTCCTAAACGCTCAAACTGAACCAAATTGCAAGATTAAGTTAATTTTTCTTACTCGGTGGCATAAACAAGCTTTCATAGAGAACAGCCAGTACATTCTACCAAAAATATTTTGTATCCTCAACAAAGTTTTGAAACGGCGAGAATCATAATTTCCACTGAATTTTTTTTTTTTGACAATTGCCATTTTTGTGACTGACTCATTGCATCTCTCCTCACTCATTCCTTAACTTGACACTTGGAACCTTTAACGTTACACTTAATGTAAAGCGACAGAGGCTCGACTCACTAAGACATGTCCAGCAGCTGGTCCAGATCCACACCTCTGTAGGTGAATTTCCTGAAGGTGCGCTTCTTCTTCTGCTCAGCGTCCGCCTATGGGGATAACAAACACCGTCAGCTTTACACGGGCCTTACATGACGGCTAGCTGCTTAACCAACAGATTAACAGTGACTACAAAATTAAATAATAAGCTTCCTACTTCATCATGTCACGCAAGAACATAAATAAACTAACAGTCCTGAAAATCCCATCACGCTGGACTGAGAACTGGACCGCAAGACTGAAGCTACTAATCGTACGAACATCTACCTAAACATTCATCACAGGCAAAAAATAATGGCCTGAACAAATGAATTCATTCCTAAACATGCCTTATTCATATTATCTAATCTGACATGCATCGTATTTATAGAAGATTCGTTTGGATTATTGTAATTTAGTTATTCACAAATGCGACGTGAACCTACCATCTTGAGAGACTCCCGGAAAAGGAAGAAGGCCGGAGAGACGCAGCAATATCGCGAGAGTTCA